GGATCCAGATGTTACCATGAGGAGCTCAAGTCCTGCAGCAGAACTGGGTCCAGATGTTACCATGAGGAGCTCAAGTCCTGCAGCAGAACTGGGTCCAGATGTTACCACGAGGAGCTCAAGTCCTGCAGCAGAACTGGGTCCAGATGTTACCATGAGGAGCTCAAGTCCTGCAGCAGAACTGGGTCCAGATGTTACCATGAGGAGCTCAAGTCCTGCAGCAGAACTGGGTCCAGATGTTACCATGAGGAGCAGACATCCTGCAGCAGAACTGGGTCCAGATGTTACCACGAGGAGCTCAAGTCCTGCAGCAGAACTGGGTCCAGATGTTACCATGAGGAGCAGACATCCTGCAGCAGAACTTGATCCAGAAAGTACTGTATGGACCACACATCTTCCAGAAGAACTTGATCCAGATGGTGCTATGCAGAGTGCACATTCTTCAGCAGAATTGAGCTTGGGTGTTAGCATATGGAGTGCATATCCCACAGCAGGTATTTCTACCTGGAGCACACGTCCTGCACCCAAATCTGATGCAGAAGGTACTGCATGGGACACTCATTCTTCAGCCGATTTTGATCTAGATGGTACCGTGAGAAGCAAACATCCTTCAGCAGAAAAAATTCTCAAAGGCACAATGGAGAGTAAATATATTGCAGCAGAAACAAGTCTAAGAGATCCCATGTGGAGGACACATCCCACAGAAGAACTAGCATCAGATGGAATCAGGAGGAGAACACTTCCCACAGCAGAATCAGGTTCAGACTACTATATAGGGCCGCAAGATCTTGAAAGTAATGTTAAGGAAAAGAACAAAGTGTTGGAGGGCTGGGGTGGATGGACAGCAAGAAGTCTGTGTGGTTGGGCAGAAGGGGGAAGGAGAGATTGAAATGACAGAAAAGGGGAAGGAAGAAAGAATAGAAAGTTTGGAGGGGGGTGACTGAGTGGATAGAAAGATATCAAGGAACAATAAATGGGGGAATGGATGGATGGATGGATGGATGGATGGATGGATGGATGGATGGATGGATGGACGGATAGATGGATGGATGGGTAGATGGATGAAGTGGCAACAGTAGATTAGGAGGAGGAGGAAGGCCAAAGCAATGGGCTAGCTGTAGGTGGAAGTGTTTGAGAGGGAGAGGAGAAGCAGAAGGGGTGCAGGAGAGGAAGGAGGGGCAATGGATGGCTGAGGAGTGCTGGGGGGGATTTCATGGGCTGTGTCTCCTCCCCAGGTGCTGGTCCAATGGGAATCTCTGCTCTGCCCACTAGAGTTTCATCACCCTCTCCATCTCTGGGCTCCACCCAGGGGCTGGCTGTCTCTCCTGCCATTGCTGTTCAACTGAGTCCAGGCTCTGGCACCCACTCACAGCACCTCACAGAGGCCCCCAGTACCCAGAGACCCTCAGAACCTACCCAGTACCCTGAGATCCCCAACACCCAGGGACACCCAGCATCCATCCAACACCCTCCAGAGAGCCCCACTGCCTCGATAGAGCTTGTGCTCTCCCAACATCCCCCTGCAGAGCCCTCTGGTTTCTGGACACCCCCAGACCTCTTTATCCAGACACCATCAAGGAACCCCAGCCCTCAGAGCCCCCCAGTACTCACTGTGCGCCCCATAGATCCCACCAGCCCTTACATGAATGCTGCTAATTTCAAGCACATCATGGATATCCCCAGACCCCAGAGCCTCCCAGCACCCTCTGAGGACTCTGTTAAAACCCTCAGTACCCAGAAACCCCCAGTATCTGCCCAGCATCCCACAGAGACCCTCAGCTCCAAGAGTCCCTCAGCACTCTCCCAATATCTAACAGAGATCTTCAGCACACAGGTCCCCCCAGCACCCACCCAACACCCCATGGAGACGTCTGATAGTCAGCCCCCTGTAGCACCCACTGAACAATCCACTGAGATCTTCAGCACCCGGAGGCCCCCTGCATTGCCCCAGCACTCCACAGAGCCCCCCAGCACCCAGAGGCCCCCATCAACACTACAACACCCTATGAATACCTTTGGCACCCAGAACCCTCCAGCATCCCTTAAGCATCCCATGAAGTTGCTCAGCACTCAGACCTCCCCCATATCCCACCAACACCCCAAAGAGCCCCGCAGCACCCAGACACCCCCAGGATCCTTTAAGCACCTCACAGATCCCCCCAGCACCCAGATTCCCTCAGCACCTGTCCAGCATCCACTGGAGACTTTCAGCACTCAGACTCCCCAAGCACCCCTCCGGCACCCCATGAAGTTTTTCAGCACCCAGACCCCCCCAGCACCCACAGAGACCCTCCGCACCCATTCTGCAAGCTCTGTACTGCCTGGACCCCCATGTGCAGGTAGGTCTTGGGGTTGTGGGTGAGGGTTGGACCCATGAGATGCAGGGCTTGCACATGCTGAGACCACTGGCTTGGAGAGAGGAGGGATGGGTGCTGGGGGGGGTCCCTTGCTCTGAGAGTGTTTGCCCTGGGGGAGCAAACATATGCACACAGAGGATTTAGGGGGTCTCTGCTTCTCGCCCCACAGGTCCAGCCCAACCAGCACCACCGGTGCCAACACTCTCTGCACTATGGGATCAGGGGGGATCCTGTGTGGCCCCTGCCCTGAGGGCACTGCTGTGGGAGGTGCGGGAGCTGCGGGGGCAACTGCGAGCCCTGGCCCGCAACCAGCGGCGGGGAGCTCAGCGCCTGGAGGCTGTCACCCGCCGCCTGGGCAGGCTGGCTGCTGTGGGGCAGCACATCCTGGAGGACCCCCCCAGGCTGTACGGGGGTGTGGGCATCCAGAGAGGGGCCTTGCACAGGAGGCAAGGGAAATAAAGCTGGGCTGGTTCACCAATCTTGAGTGTTGAAGAGGGAGAGGGAGGGGGAAGGGGAGAGGGGGAGAGAAGATAGAGGGGGAGGGGGAGAGAGAAGGTGAAGGAGAGGGAGGAGATGGTGAAAGAGGGGGAGGGGGGGTGAGAGAGAGGGAGAGAAGGACTCATCCCATCCTGGCGCCTGCTTGGCTGCTGCGGGGTTCCTGCTCTCAGCTTTCGATTCCTCCCCTTGCCCCCCCTCCGAGGCCCCCTTGTTAAAAGGGTGGCCCCAGTGGCTGGGGAGGCCCTGCTGCCAGCATGGGGGGGCTGCGTAGCCTTGGACTGTGCCTGGGTGAGGACATGGGGGATGCAGAGCTGGGGGAAATGGAAGGTGTAGAGATGGGAGGCAAATGAGGGGCACAGAGGTGGAGGCACATGGGGAGGCAAAGCTGGGATGCATGGTGGGCAGAACTGAAGGAAAAGGAGGGGTACAGAGCTGGGGGCACACAGAACTGGGGGGAAAACATTTTATGTTGTGTGTCAGTGGGCTGGGGGGTCCTGGGGGTCTTGGATGGTCTGTGGATGTCTCTGTCTCTTTCCAACTCCTACTTCTCTCCCCCTCAGCTTTGTGCTGCGGTGCCGTGATTGGTTCTGGTACGTTGGGTGTCACTGGGTGTCAGTGGGGTTCACTTGGTTGTTACTTGGGGTCATTGAGTGTCCTGGATGTCAGCAGGGGTCACTGGGCATCACGGGGGGTCACTGCGTGTCCTGGGATGTCCCCACATATACCATTTGGGTGCCCAGGGGACAGCAGTTGCTGGATGGGCAGGCACCAGGGCATGGGCAACAGGTGGGATGGTTTGAACTGGGCAGACTGGAACAGTACTGGGCAGCCTACTGGGCAGCCTAGAATTGTACAGGACAGACAGGCTACACAGGGACTATGCTGGGTCACCATACTGGGACAGTGCTGGGCAGACTGGGGTTGTGTTGCAGCTGTGATGGGGCTGTTCTGGGCACACCGGGACTAAGCTGGGCACACTGGAGCTGTAGTGGGGCTGTTCTGGGTAGACTGGGCCATGCTGGTGCTGTACTTGGCAGACTGAGACCAAATTGGACAGACAAGGGCCAAGATAGGAAGACCGGGGCTGTGCTGATGCCAAGCTGGGGCCAAATGAGGCAGATTGGGAATGAGACCCAGAGACCCAGACAAGAGCTGTGCTGTGGCTGTGCTGAGCACACCGAGAGTGTGGTGGGAATACTGAGACTGAGCAGGGCAAACTGGGACTGAACTAGGCAGTCTTGAGCTGAGCTGGGTAGAGTGGGGCTGTGCTGGGACCATGCTGAACAGACTGGGGCTGAACTGGGCAGAGTGGTGCTGTGCTTGGGCTTTGCTGTGACTGAGCTGAGCAGACTGAGACTGAACTGGGCAATGTGGGGCTGAACTGGGCATGCTGGAGCTGGGCTGGGGCTTCGCTATGACTGTGCTGAGCCAGACTGGGCGCTGTACTAAACAAACTGGTGCCGCACTGGGCAGACTGGGGCTGTGCTGGTCAGGTTGGTGCAGCACTGGGAAGGCCACACTTCACTCTCCCGCTCTCCCCAGCAGTGCCTGCCCAGCTCTCCGGCGGCCATTCCCGATGCCAGGGCCGCGTGGAGCTGTTGCAGGCTGGCTCCTGGGCCTTGGTCTGTGCTGTGGGCTGGGACCTTGCAGCTGCCCGCGTCCTGTGCCGCCAGCTGGGCTGCGGCCGCCCCCGTGCCGTCCCGGTGCCCTGCAGCCCACCCATGGCTGAGGGGAACACAGTGGGTCTGCGTCAGGTGCTGTGTGCAGGGCAGGAGCTGGACTTGGAGCACTGCGAGCTGCAGCCAGGTGACGCTGCATCCTGTCCGTCCAACCACGTGGCTGCTGTCAACTGCGAGGGTGAGCGTGGGGCAGGACCGGGCTTTGCAGCCTAGCAGGGATGTGGCGGGGCCTGGGGCCATGGCAGGGCATGGCGGGGGCACAGCGAGGCCTTATGGGGTTACAGTGAGGCCTGGTGTCATGGTGGGAGGGAGACAGTGAGGTCTGGTGAGGACACAGGGAGGCCTGGGGTCACAGCAGGGCCTGGTGGGGATACAGTGAGGCCTGGTGTCATGGCGGGGCCTGGTGTCACAGCAGGGCGTGGAGGGGACACAGTGAGGCCTGGTGAGGACATCAAGGCCTGGGGTCATGGTGGGGCCTAATAGGGACACACTGAGGCCCGGTGAGAACACAGTGAGGCCTGGTGTCATGGCAGGGCCTGATGCCTACACACTGAGGCCTGGCATCATGGTGGGGCCTGGAGGGGACATGATGAAGCCTGGTGTCACGGCAGGGCCTGGAGGGGCCACAGTGAGGCCCGTGTCACATCAAGACCTCGTGTCACTGCTGTGTCCCCACAGAGCCCTTCAGGCTGCGGCTGGCCGGGGGGCCCAGGCGCTGTGCGGGGCGGCTGGAGGTGCAGCGAGCCGGGCGCTGGGGCACGGTGTGCGATGACGGATGGAGAGGGGCCAACACGGCTGTGGTATGCCGGGAGCTGGGCTGCGGTGAGGCGCAGGGCATAGATGGGAAGCGGCCACGTTTCGGGCCCGGCGTTGGGCACATCTGGCTGGATGACGTCCGATGCCGAGGGCAGGAGAAGAGCCTGCAGGACTGCGCGCACCGTGTGTGGGGATATCATGACTGCACCCATCGCGAGGATGTTGGAGTTGTATGCCAGGTGTGGGGCTGCCGCCACGGCTTGGTAATGGCTGCGGGGCCCTGTGGAGCAGGGTTCAGCCATGCTCAGTCTTCTCTCCTTACAGGATCCCTGAGCATCATGGCGCTGTCCCCACTAGTGTCAGGAACTGCATCTGTCCCTCCTGCAGCATCTGTGTGAGGAACCCAAACGGGACCTCGAGCCCAAGCAGGACTGCAACTCAAACAAATCCTGAGTGCAAACAGGATCTAAAGCCAAACAGAACTCTGAGCCTGAGCCGAACTCTCTGCCCAAACAGGACCCAAAATACAAACAGGACTCCCAAAACCAGACAAGATCCACAATCAAAAAGGACCCAGAGCCCAAACGAAACCGTACATCCAGCCAAGACCCAGAGTCTAAACAGAACCCAAACCCAAACAGAATCCAGAGCTCAAACAGTATCCCCTGCCCCAAAAGGATCCTGAGTCCAAACAGAACCCAAAACCAAACAGGTCCCCAAGACTAACCAGGACTCAAAATATAAACAGGACCCCTGAACTCAGGACCCAAAACAGAACAGGTCCTTAAGCCCAAACAAGATCCCATATCCAGACAAGACCCAGAGCCCCAAAAGAGTCCTGAGCCCAAACAGGACCCGAAACCAAACAGGCCTTCATCCCAAACAGAACCCAAAATACAAACTCCCAAACCTAGACAGGACCCAAAAGCAAAAAGGACCCAGAGCCCAAACAAGACCCCACATCCAGACAGGATCCAGAGCCAAACAGAACCCCAAACCAAATAGGAGAGCACAAATAGAGGAGCACAATCAGGATTCCCTGTCCAAAGAGAACTCCCAGCCCAAAAAAGACTCAAAATGCAAGCAAGACCCCCCAAATCCAGGCAGGGTCAAAAATCAGAAAGGATCCAGGTCCTCAGCCCCATCCACTGCTACCCCCCACCCCAGCCCTATTCCTTTAATAGTGTCATTAAAAGCGAGCAGCATCCATGAACATGGAACCTGCCTAGGGCTGCAGGGATTAGGGCAGTGGTGTGACACCGGGATGGAGTGCCACACTGGGTGCTGGGGTCCTGGCAGGCCCAGGTGTGCTGCTGAAGTCCCCCTGTCCTGTCTCCCCCTCCCCCCCGTGGCCTCTTGACCCCATTATGAAACTACTCGTTAGTGCTAATCCTACCAGCCACCTGTCTGCTGCCGGCACCTGCTGCCAGGGCATGGGTTCGGCACCCAGCCAGCAGCTCTGGGATGTGGGGCTGGGGCCAGTCCCTGCTGGGGGGGCAGCTGGGGGGGCAGCCAGAGGGGAGATGGGGTGCAAGTGGGTGGATATGGGTCAATGGGAGACCATGAGGTGGGTTATGGGGTGAAGGAAGCCGTTGGTTTGTGGAAGGGCAAGGAGTGGGGGTACTAGGAGCTGTGGGAAGGGAAGGGAGTGAGGCAATGGGGCTGGGAAGGCACATAATTGGACAGTGGGGGCAACGGGGGCAGGGTTTACAGATGTCACAGCATGGAGGAGTGGGCAGCAGTGCAGCAGCTCAGCAATGGGGGCATTGGGGTTTATGGAAGGGGGAGTGGAGTTTGCCCCCTGCAGAAAGGGATGTGGGGGTCAAGCCCAGGGGCACTGGGCTGGCCTCAACTACTGAGGCTTGGCACGAGGCCAGGTCCTGGCTGCATCCCCAAGGCTGAGCTCTGCCACCTGGCCCTGGCTATTTCTGTGTCCCAGCAGCTGTCGGTGCCCCCGCCCCCAGCCACCCCCGCAGGGCTGGATGCCATGGGGTTGGCGCTGGGCCTCGTCTCTGCTTTGGGCTCTGTTGATGCTTTTCAATGGGGCAGGATGGTGATGGAGCAGTCAGCCCCACACCCGCTGCCCCATAGCAAGGGGACACCCCTACCATCAGCATCTGCTCTCTGTAATGGGGTTGGAGAGGACAGGGTGAGAGGTGCAGCTCAGTGACCTTTCCACATGCCAGCAGGGCCTGCTAATGTGCTGTCAGGTGTTAATTATGTGTCAGGGGTTAATTATGGCCCAGACAGCTGGGGTCAGGGCAAGCAGCTGGGATAGGGGAAAGAGCAGGTGGGGAGGGAGAGGGAACAGCTATGGGGAGAGAGGGAAGGATGGGGCTGTGGGAAATGGGCTGGGATGTGGTCTTGGGAAAAAGAGGGTGTGGGAAAAGGGGAGAGAGTGGCAAAAAGTTGAAGGAAGGGAGGGGAGAGAGAGTGATACGGTCATGGGGACTGGGGAGAGGCAGGAATATGGCTGTGGGAAAAAGGAGGGAGAGATGGCACAGTGGGAAATAGGGAAGAGGGAGGGATAAGGATGTGAGGAAAG